TCAGTATGCTTTGATCTTAAAATATACTATAAGCCATTCTCAGTGCCCCACTAAAGGTAAATTAAAGTGTATTTACATCTCACAGGTCTGCAGCTGTATAGTGCACCTCATTATCCCAAAGGGCAACACAATAAGAGAACATTTTCATTTAATTTACCATCATTCTTCATGTGAAAAGTTGTATTTTTTTTATTGAAAACCACAAATATTTTACCGTCAATTTTTTTCCATTAAGTCATTATTTTTGCAAAGACAAATAATCACCATGAAATCAGAGTCAGTTTGTGTCTTTTAGAACGCAGTAGTTATGTGTAGCCGACCTCCTGGCATGGAGCAGCACTCTCATGAGAATGGACTTACTGTAGGACGAGGAGCGTGAGAAAACTGCTAATAGAGCCATTATGTTAGACACTATACTGTAACATTGTTCCCTACTAATAATAATGCACCCTACTGTGCTATCAGAGAGGAAAGCACAGTTCTGATGTTCTGAATGATGTCTGTCAATGGAGTAATCTGTTTCTGATACAGCCTTGGCTCTTACAAAAAGTAAAAACTAATTTAAATATTTTGATACAGAACTGATCAGTGACAAGGAAAATATTTCATCACGTGCCACTATGCCCTGGAAAAATACTGCAGTAGATACAGTATCTTTGAAGAGGTACGGTGCCTTTTCCCAGACACAATTGAAAGGCTCAGTTAGTTTCCAGGAGATAAGGACAATAACAGACATAACAAGGGTTTTCAAGGAGAATTAAAACTATTTTAAATTGTCATCAATAAAGTCAGTGTTGATGCTTTTGATGCACTTGAAAGACTAGGGACAGAGTGCATGAGGCATTTGCCTATTGGAATAATGCAGGGCGAATTGTCTTTACTGTCTGAGAAACTCCCTCTTGTTTCCTTTAAGGCTTGAGGAGTACCTTTAAACAGCATTTGAGTCTCTAACCACCTCTAATCAAGGTACTTGGAAGGCCATTGTGTCAGTAGGCTTCCATTCCAAGTCAGTTCCTGCCAAGATAAATCAGCTCATTACTTGCTTCATTTGACCAATTGAACAGTTTTTGAACAGAACTGAAAGGACTAATCATCTTGTGGGTGGATGGGGAATTGCTCGGGCTGGGAGATCAATTGTATTGGTTCCTTTTTGTTCAATTTCGTGAAACTAGATGCTGATTGCTGATTGCTGACTGGGTATAGCATTGTTCAAAAGACACTAATTTAATTAAAAAACAGAAGGTGTCAGTCCAGAGGTCTAAGCTGTCTTATACAGGCATCTTAATGGTTTTATGTATTGATAACCCCAGTCCAGTCTTATTTTGTCTAGATCTTTGTACAAATTAAATGCCGCTAGGCTCCAATATTTGAAATGCTTGTATTCTGAGCTCATTATACATACTGTATACTGGTCCTTTAACTTGACATTGGACAGTGGTGATTGTAACCTAGGACTACAGGGTCTAGAGTAAGGTTCTCCAACCTTGGTCCTGGAGAGCCCCAGTCCAGCAGATTTTATAAGTGACCTTTACATCATCCATTTCTAAATGCCTGGAACAATTTAACCATGATCACTTTAAATCAATTGAGCGCAGCACCTGTTTGAGATGATTTGGAACAAAAATCAAATTGTCTTTCAGAACTCAAAGACCAGTGATCACTTCATCGACATATTACTTGCTTAAATAATTGATTGGTGAAGTCCTCTTATTGGTAACTGGATTGGGATTCTATAAGACCAGGGTTTGAGAACCCTTGTTCTGAGCACTGGTGTGTGCATGTTTGACAGCATCACTCCCACTGAGGCCATGTCTGACACACTCTCGCTCCCACTTGTGTCTCTTTATCATCAACTGATCAAGTAATAAGAGCTGTTTAGTCAGGAATATGGACAGGTTGAGGACAGTCCTGCGTGCTGAAGTTGTTGGAAATAGCAGCCCTGAAATAGAAGATTTTTGACACATTGGACTGATAGAAGAGAAAAGTTAAATAAAAGTCTAAGCAAGCAAGCTAATCAAGTAAGGCATCGCATGTCAAGGCAAGCAGAAGGGATGTAGAGCTCAGCTGGAGTGAAGCCGAGCAATCCTCCAGGACCAGGGCTGGGTACCACTGTTCTAGATAACAAACCTTGCAAACCACAGGTGGGTCTGTTATTTTCAACCCCTGACTTTAACGTTGCATAATGAATGTCAACATGATTTCTGTTTCTCTTGAAAGAAAAATTCATAGGGAGAGAGAATTCTCGAAACAGATTTTTCAGCCAGTGAGTACTGAAAAAGCCACACTGTCCAGTCAGTATGAGCAGGTTTACAAATAAATACAAAGCCCAATATTTGACTATATCAACATTTAACATTTGTGATATTATTTTGCAGTCTATACTCTTTGCTGCATCCTTTTATTGTTCTTTACAGTAGCGCAGTTTTATCTTCTGTACTGAACCATGCTGATTGTGCTGTAGCACACTGATGACTGTGTGCTCTCCTCAGGTCACAGCAGCAACAAGCACAGAAAAAAAAAAAACTGGTAGTAACAACTGGAATTATTTTTAAGTCCAAACCTCAACATTTCTTTTTTGCTTTTACGTGCAGAGAATCAGCCTGGGAAAAGCCAGAGATTCCAGGCCAAAAATGTCCTGTACTGGGGACTGGGAAGTCTCTATGGAGATTCTGACTGAAGCCATGTTACACTCAATGAATAACTCTTCCTCTGTGTGTGAAATACACTCCAGCTGTAACATAGCCTTTTGGTACTAAATACTTTCATTGCAGTACATTTGAATGGGGGAAAAAACAATATTTATTAGCAGTTATAAACCTAAAGGATTCCCTTGATTCTGCTGGTAAAGCAATTTCTGACTTCTCCACCTGAGTGCTGTAGAGTGAAGTGGGTCCCCTAAACTATGTGAAGCATTTTTGGAGTAAAAGGTGGTATATACAGTAAATACCATAAGTTTCCTAAACAATAACAGCTAGTACAATTAACCATGAAAGTATTTATAGATTTATCAAACTACAAACATAGATTTTTGTGTCCTCATCTAGCTAGCAATGTGTTAATACAAACTGCTTAACAAGGCCTCTACTCTCCTCCACACAACAGTCATTACAGTAACTGATTACAGTGTGTTTTGCTTGTCATCTGAACACACTCTGGACAGGATACACGCAGACCTGGCAACTTGTGGCATCTCTCTCACGCTTAAGTTATTACAATTTCTAAAACTCAAGCCAGTTAGGGATCTACAGCCAGAATTAATACATATTTAGTCATCTATTCTTAATTTGTCTGTATGTGTATTCTATTGTAAAAATAAAATACAGCATTCACCAAGCAGTTTTTTTGTCCCCTAAGAAGCGGATATGGTTCTGAAAAGGATCAGGATCTCCAGCAGATTCACGTACCTCAAGCTCATTTGAAATAAAAGCTGTCCCATCATCAATAGGGTCAGGTGTCTGGGAGATCTGTGTCTGTGCTGGGGCCAGTACAGCGTCCTGCCAAGTGTGAGAAATCTTTTTTAAGGTCCAGAAAGATTCAGGCTTTTGCGTCTCCACAGTAACCCCTTCAAACAGGGAATAATTAGGCATCTGCTGCCTGATTTACATTGCAAATGAGGTCTTGAGCTCTCTCCAGGTTTGGTCCTCGTAAACCATCAGAGCACGACAGTTTATGTAAAACACCTTTGAGGTTGTTTTGTTTAAATATCGGTCTTACAAAATAAAGCAAAGGAAAAAGTTATTTAGTAGCTAGGGGTGTCGATGATGATTATTTGTCAGACTTACATGGCAATAAAAGTTTGAATTGTTTTTTTTTTGTAGAATTATCTCATAAAAACAATTAAAGCCTTTTTTAACTCTGAAATCTGGATTTAGTGGCATTCTTGCATATCTGTGTCCCAGACAGATTTGTCCACGCTGCCTACCCAACATCACCATATACTGTACCAGTCTGTTGTCAACTGCACCACAATAGGATGGAAAAAGAGGATGCTGGGAAAAGCCAATAAAGCAGAGCTAATATTGTAACAATACTAGGGTGTCATCTTCCAAAATCATGAAATTCCCATGGCTTTATTTTCCTAACAAATACAGCTAGAAAACAGATACACCCCTAAGCAATTGTTTCTTGATTCAACAATATCTACAAGCCCAGGCTGGAAACAATCCATGTTTTTTTCCAGATCTGGGGTGTTTGGAACTGAACTGGAGGGGCCAAGCTTCAAACCTCAAATTGTTTAATTGTTTTCCCCTCCAGTGACTTGAGAAGCAAGACGAGTGGTGCCAATGCAGGGTTGCCTTGTGGAGGAGACTGGCCACGGTAGTGCTGTGTTTTCCAGGAATGGGGCAAATCCCGCACAATTAACATCTACAGAGGTTTTGATCACCCTGCAACTGCTCCATTCATTGCTCTGCTGTGACTTGTCTTTTCATTTTGTTACCATAGGGGAGTTCCAGAGGAACGTGACCACACTTCCTTCGGGGTGTCAGTTTCTGAGGTACAAGAAGAACAAGTTTCAGGCAGAGGAACATCAGTCTGTTTCTTTTTTGATCCTCTGGGGAACAAAAAGCACATTGCAGTAATTGGCATCCCTCGCTGTTTTCTTGCCTTTCATCCATTTTATGTTACTAAATATCATCTGGAAACCTTTCCAGAAAGTTTTTTGGCGGAGACACCCTTGGCTTGTCTCTGCCAAGGCTGAGGAACATCAAGGAAAAGGTGCCGCTGTGATCGCTGAAATATTCTTTTTCCCCTCATGCCTCTTGCTTGTTCCAGAATTGAGAGGCAGTGCAGTGGTACAGTAGCTGGCACGCAGTCTGTATACAGTACATGGGTGGACAGAGATGGATCTGCAGGCCAACCAGCTTGGTGGTCTAAGGGCACCTAACTTTCTAATTTTTCACTAATCATCGGTTCCCAGTTGCTGTTCATACGTGTTTCACACATTACAGTTGTCGTGAGATTTAAGAACAAGAAATCACTATGATTTATGGGAATTAATATTTTTTACTTCTCACTCTTCCACAAGGCTGAAAAGCGAAATTGCCTTAAGAGACCTTTATTCTATGCTATTTGACTGCTTGTTCTCAAAACACACTGTAGCCCTGAAACTTGTTATATGGAAACAGCTCTCCACAGCTTCTTCAACATTACAACCAAGGCATCAAATTAGAAGGCTGTTAGGATGTTTCTAAGTTTCAGGAATATTGTTCCTTCATTTTAATTCCTGATTATTGCAGGAGAAAGAATTAAACTATAAAAATGGAAAAACCAAAGATTAGAATCAAATGCTGTGGAGAATTGAAAAAGAAATAAAGAAAAGACTGCTTGAAGAAAGCATTAATAAGCAAAGCTGATTTCAATAAATTGTATTAACCTGTTGAACAAAGTAAGCATGTTTATACAAGTCAGTATCATCTCATATTGGCCTGATTTCTGTCAGTTTTAGTACCATGGCGAAAGGGTGACTACATCTGACAACTGTATGGGGGAGCTACCTTTCCTGAGCCCCTCCTTAACAGATCCGGACTGCACCCACACCAAGAACAACATGAAATCTGTCGCCACTACGGACAGCTCCAGAAATGACCTAACACTGCATAGCTAGGAGCTCAGTCCGGAACAGTACGGTGTTCCTAGTCCACCCTTTCTTGGTGTCCATCAGTATCTTACATTTAAAAACGATAAGAAAGGGGACTCCCAGATGGCGCTATGAGTAAATGCACTCACCACAGGGAACGCGGGTCAGTCCTAAAAAGCATTAGTCATTGCGGATTCCCAACAAGCCACAAGGGGCACTGTTGTACTCAACCTACTATTCCTTTTGCTAGTTCATGGAGATCATATCCTGTCACTGGCTGACCAATTGGGCACTGTGCTTTAGGAGCAGATCAAGATTTTGTCTTAACTAATTCACTCGGGGTATAAAGAAAGAATGTCACGTGGGATAATACGAAAGAATGTCTTTAAGTTGAAGAATGTCTTAATTAAATTAATTAAACCTTCTTAATATAATGTAAACCTGTACGCTAATCAATTCAGTTTTGCCATGTCTGGCCACAGAAATCGTTTTTGCCACTTGTGTAGTTTCATTGACCTCCACAAGGCTAGCAGGGTGCATTTTACAGGGTGAAATTACATTTTACAATTACATTACATTTTACAATACAATTACATTACATTTTACAATTACAGGGTGCATTGCTCTCTCAGCCAATGCAGCCTGTAACTATATTAAAGTTCTCACCATGGCATTCTGTCAGTTTTTACCTTTCCTGACAGCTCAGTTTGGAGGCCCTGCCTTACCTAGGGAATGTCTGGGTAACTTCCTCTTCAATTTCTTCAAAGATATTACGCCCTTATCATATTTTATACTCCTTTCTCTTATAACTACTGTATCTTATAACCATTTTTAAGCCCTTCTCCTGATCAGTGACTTTATCCAACTTTATCAGTAAGTTGTGAAAATACCTTGGTATTCATGGTTGAATATTTCCTAGAAATTCACTACCTGACTGAACGTCCTTACAGAGACAGGTGCATTTCTTATTAAATCATGAAAACCACTGCTATTGCTCACAGAGGACACTGAACTACTTAAGTGGTCTGTTAGAGTAATTCTAATTTTGTGCATCTAAAAGAGATGTTCCACAACAAAGGGTCTGAATACTTGTGCAATTATGAGTTTTATTATTTTTTGTTCATATTATCTATTTGCGTAATTCTTTTTTTTTGCTTTGAATGCGTGGAGTAGCTTGTGTATAAACGAAAAAATAATTGTTACATGATGTCATAACTGCAAGCTTTAAAACAACAATATGTGAAAACTTTGTAAAGGTCTGATTATGTTTGCAAGCCACTGTATAAGTGGCCAATAGCTTAAGGTCCATAAGCACCTTAACTATAATTACTAATGCAATTACAGTCATCCCATTCATACAAGCACCTGAACTATTAGGAAAGGCCAATGTCCATTGTTGTTATTTTCACCATGTGCTATAGGTTTATTAGTGTTAGCCTTTCCTGTTTGTGTGACAGTGCACAGACTCAAGGATCATTTTCCTAGAAGCACTTTCACCAGAGGGAGTCGATTACACAAAGATCACACTGAGTGGCAGAGAATAACATGTGATATTGAATTCCCAGTCTATTTTTAGTCTGTCTTGTTTAGGACGATTGAAATAGACTTTCCAATACCTACAAGCCAAAAACAGTTCACTGTTCTGTATCACAACACTTCACAGCCGTAGTGACTTCAAATCTGGTGGATATACAAAAGAACTTAAAGTAAAAGATTGGAAAACAAATGTCAGCTTAGTCCATCTGACACATACCACTACAGCAAACAGGTTTTGTTCTTAAATAAAATCAACAGTGGATGGTAGCAGCTGGTACATAGCAAACAACTGCTGCAAGCAAAGGAAGAGTGGGAGCTGGGTGTTAGAGATCTGCATCTTTGCAGGAGAAACATCCAAAATGGAAGAGCATGGTTTTCCCGTCTGCTCACACCACAGACAGAAAGAGTGATGAAGAAGCTCTGAAGGAAGGAACAGTCAAGACTGTAGCTTGAGTCCTTACAAGATGACATTGTAGATAATAATACCTAATACACTGACAGTGTCCCCCACTCTGTAGGACAGCCATTACCAGCACATTCTCTGTGTCTCCAGACTTGAATCTGTCTGGCGGTTCAAGTCAGAGGCTGCAAAAACACTCTACATCTTCTAATTTGCTACATCTTCTAGTCTGGTGCAGAGATATTATCTCATGATGCAGAAAGTCTTGAAAGAAGCAGGAACTGACTTGACAGTTTAATGAGGTCTGTTCTGATTTTTCAGGAACGCTGCACTTTCGCAAAGACAAAGCGAGAAATAGAAGATGAAAAGAAAACCCATTCGCACCTCCTTCGGGAGGCCCACATACAGTAGAGCACAGGAAACACAGCACATTCACATCGTAATGCAGACAGGATTTACAGACAATTGCAGGCTTTTACATCTGCTGCAGCCTGAAAAGCTGGAACAGTAGAGAGAAGCACACACAGCCACATGCTCTGGACTAATCATGCCACATGGCAGCAGCCATGTCACCACTGACAGCACACTGAAGCTAAGCAAGCGTGACCCTGGTCAGTACCTGGATGGGAGACCTCCTGGGGAAAGCTAAAGGTGCAGCTTGAAGTGGTGTTAGTAGGGCCAGTAGGGGGTGCTCACCCTGCGATCTGTGTGAGTCCTAATGCTCCAAATACAGTAACGGGGACACTATACTGTAAACAGGCGCCGTCCTTCGGATGAGACATATAACTGAGGTCCTGACTCTCTGTGGTCATTCAAAATCCCAGGATGTTTCTCGAAAAGAATACCGGTGTTACCCTGGCGTCCTGGCCAAATTTCACTCTGGCCTTTACCAATCACGGCCTCCTAATAATCCCCATCTATGAATTGGCTTCGTTACTCTGCTCTCCTCCCCACTGATATCTGATGTGTGGCGAGTGCTC